ACGCAAGCAGGTTGGGCCCGGGTTACCACGAACCAAAAACCGGCGCTCCCCCCCCCCCCCCCCCCCGGTGCTGTCGCTGGGATATGCGCAAGAAACTCTCTCTCTCTCTGTGTGTCTCTCTCATGACTAAGTTGCCGGAATTTCCCCAGCGTCGACCAGCCGGACGCTGGACGGATGCTTCCTCGCTCTTGGATCGGGGAGCACTAAAAGTCACTGGTAGCAAGATAGATATCAGCAACCACATGCCTCAGCCAATATTTCCTCGGCAACAAGGACAAATTCGCCCCCCACCCACATTTATCCATATAGTGTATTTGTTCTCAAAAACTTGTGAATTTTTCGTTAGGGTTGACGATGGAGTCTCTGCTCCCGGTCCTGGAGGCGCGAGGGGCTAACTCCGTTCGAGTGACCTCACTGCTCGAGAAGAGGACCGAGCTCTCCTCGGGCTTCAGGGGGCACTACGTCGGGTTTAGCATCCCGGACAAGTTTGTGGTGGGCTACTGCCTGGACTTCAACGAGTTTTTCAGGTGTGGGCGGGCGGCGGGGATGGAACTCTCTCTTTTCTTGTGTTTTTGGGCGCCTGGTTCGAGTCGATCGGAGACTTGGTAGTTTTGGCGGACGATGATGCTTGGGTGGGTAACTGTAACTCCTCGACGAGAAGAGAAGCATGTTGTTCTCGGTTCACTGCTGTCTCTCCTATTCTAGCACCCACCACCACCCACTGAACAATTGTTGATTAGCAGGCAGGGTGCCTCAATATTGTGGCATGGGGGGAAGATGGTGTAACGTCATTAGCGCGGGACCCGGCACAGCATTGCGGATCGAACAATAGATATTTCTAGCTCTCAGTGCAGTAGGTGTGGCAATAACCAGCTCCAAGCAATTTAAGCAGCACTGCATCGGGCGCCGCACTATTTGGGGACGGACTCTACCTGTATCCGCAGGTGCACTACCCGTTGTTTCTCTTGGCTTTTGTTATTATTTTTCGTCGTGTTTTTGTCTCCGAATTTCTTCTTTTTTGTTTTCCGTCTATTTTTCGTCGTGTTTTTGTCTCCGAATTTCTTCTTTTTTGTTTTCCGTCTGTGTCTCGTCGGTGCTCCGGTTTTTGCCAATTAATTCAGTCCCCTTGTACGCTGCATAAACCTTCCTGCCACAGGGACATGGACCACATCTGCGTTATTTCGGACCGCGGTATCGAGCGATTCACAGAAGAAACGCGAGGGTGACTGCTGTCATTAGCTCAACAGCAGATTCCCTCTTTTTCTGTCGAGCCCTCGCCAGAGTGGATGCTGCAGTTTTCTGTCGAAACGGAATGGCAGGGACATCAGTCCTGCTCAAAACGAGAGAGAGAGAGAGAGAGAGCGTTGTCGAAGGGGGGAAGAAGGCTGGCTTTACAACAGATGCGAAGGCCATGGAAGCGCGCGAGTTCTAGCACAGCACTGTGTTGACACGTCAACGCACGTTCGCTCGTACTGTACTGTAGTCTTGCCGCGGGTTTGTAAAGGAGCTTTGTGTGTGTGTGCGTGTATCGTGCGGTCCTGAAAAAAATCGCCTTCCCCACTGTACTATACGAAGTACATTATATTGGCTATTTTTTCTTGGTCTGTGTTCGATAGCCAGCATCGGCGGGATGCGACTGTCATCTCATTCATCTCCCGGCTTGCAACGGGAGGATTAATACGATCGGGGGGCGGACGGAGGTGCGGAATGTGTCTGGCTGGCTTGATGGTATTTTTTGTCGGGAGAGGTGTTGAAGACTTCCGCATGTACATGCATATATTCATATTCGGTACGCTGTCCGTGGCACGGTGATATACATCAAGGGATGATGGGGGTGATCACACCAAGCCAGCGCACCGAATACGAGCCAGCCGTGCGGTGTACGCACGCACTCTGATTGCTCGGGGTGCGTATCGCCGACCACGACAGCTCTGGGCAACGCGGATGATGGTGTTTTTACGCTTCGTGGCTCGCTAAATAGGCGGCCCCGCAGGTTTTTATTGTCGGAAGGGTGAGAGAGCCAAGAACTCTCCAACAGGATCTACAGTGATCAATCGGCCTCCGACTTTGAGACAGGGCAAGTAGAGCGGGATGGAGGCCCTGCTCAACATTGTTGTACGTCGGTGTGTATTTGCTAATAAAGCCCTCGCGGCTGGCCTATGCACGCGTTGAATATTTTTTTTGGCGATCCATTTTCTTCTTCTTGTCCGCTAAATAGCGGTTGGCTTGTTACGTACGCACTTGCGGTTTCAGCCAAAGGGTTTGGTGACGTAGTTTGTTCATGTTGGTGAACAAGTAGGCCACGACCATACAGCCTTCTTGTGATCATTTTTGTCCGGGGGAGGGGGTGCATTGGCCATCGACTCGGAGCCATTCATTCGTCTGTTTTGGGCAGAATGAGTATTGTACTAAAACTCCAGGTGCTTCGCATTTTCACGTAAATACTACAAACATGACTTCGAATCTCTTTGTCGAGCCTTTGGCAGCTAGCCGTGTTTTGTGTACCGGTAGATCGTTTCCCTTACGCATTTTGCCACTGCTGTTGTTCAGGTACCGTAGTGTTTTTTAGGGGGGGTGGAGGGGGGAAGAGTTAGGACAGCGGTCTTGTGTTCCCTAGCTGCAGCAGCAGCAGCAGCAGCTGATCTTTGGCAAGAGGGGAAAGGGATGTCACGCGGCAACAACCCCTAATTCTTCGCTAAGAGTACGTGCGTGTGTTTTTCTGGGCGCGAAAAAGCTTGGCAGGGCGCCGAGGGAAGGCTCGTGAGATGATGCAGGAGGGGGGGGGGGGTGCGTTCGTACAGCCGTGCTTGCGGGGGACCTACAAAAGTATCGAGTTGTCGTCCAATTATCTGCCGCGCAAGCACCGTCGAAGAACTGAGTCTTTACGCTTGGGTAATTGATGGGGTTGTGTGTGTGCGACCATGCCACTTGTGCTGGCCCTGCGTGTGTTGCAGGTTTCGGTTTGTTTGGGCGCACTAATACTAGCCTGAGTCTTGTAGTCTAGTCTATAGGAGGGAGGCGACACACACTTTTTGTTTACTTTCCTTGAATTGAACCGAAACCGCGAGTTTCGAATCCTAAGTTCGTGTAACCACGGCTGGGTGTGCCGGCGAGATTCAACGCAAAAACTCACGTCAAAACATCAGAAGGTTGCTATGCTATTGTAGGATCATAGGTCGCCAACCTCGTCACTAACCGGGGTGACTGCATAATATGTAGGTCCGATGGATTTTTTTTTTTTTCATCACTTAATATCAGCGATGCCCTGCGTTCAACCCCACCCGTCTTCTCTGCCTAGCCCTACCCCACCACCCTTTTTACCAACACTCGACACACTCGACAACAAGAGGCAACAAGAGGCAACAGCGCGCGGCAAACACTGACGCTGAAACACCCTGGATCTTTGCGTCAAAAAGTCCTCTCCCTTTGCCTCTCTCTCTCTCTCTCTCTCTCTCTCTCTCTCTCTCTCTCTCTCTCTCTCTCTCTCTCTCTCCGCTACATATTATCCCATCTTTCTCTGCATACACCCCCTTCGCCGCCTCTGCACCCCGGTTTCTCTTGTCTCCTTTTCCCTCTCCTTCGCCGTTAGGGGAAACAGCACCCACACGCGCGAGCCCACGCCTCCTCGAAAAGTGTAAGGAAGAAGAGATCAAAAAAAGAAACAATCAGCACGAAAGCCGCCCGTGGTGTTGCATTGCGACAAACGGTTCGCATCCTCCAAATTCACGGGTGTTGAACGTACGTTCCGCCTTTGACAAGCGAGGTCGTATCCCAATGTTCGCACCATGTGCGACCGCGTTGAATCTAGGACTGTTGACAGGTGAGTGGCACCCAACCACGCAACAGACTTCCACGATGAACGAAACAAACAACTCCGAACCTACGTACAATAGAGTAACTACAAGATGGAGTAGAGCACGACGCACTGCTGCTGTTGCTCCGAACGTACGGGTGTAGCTGCTGTTCCTCGCACTATTGTACGCATCTTCCACCCCGTGGCCACGAAAAGGGTCACACGCCTCGAGACGGGGAAATAACCACAAGTTCTGTACTACAATCGACCGAAAGAGCAAGCGCCGCGCAAACACACTCCTACGTTGAATCCGGGGGCGTGTGCGCCAGCTTGGTCGGCCGGGCACCCGCAGGGACAGCCCGCTGTCATCGCACCGTGACAGTAGGGGCGGCCGTAGCAGCAGCAGCCGCGTCGCCGCCGTCGCCGCCACCGTGCTTCCTGAGCAGCTCGCGCGCCTGGGGTGCCCAGAGCTTGGCCGTGGAGGGCTTGTGCTTGACCGCGTACCCGAGCCCCCTCAGGATGGCCGCCACGCGCCCGACCATGACGTAGTCGTCGCTCAGCTTGAGAACCGGATCTCGATCCTTCGAACACCAAGAGCGGTCGTTTGTAGGTAGAAAACATTACCTCACAGAAAGACTACCCGTTCGAAATATAACCTCAGTCGAAAGGGTTGTTTTGTATGTTGTTGCAGGGATTGATAGTCCAGTCGTACAAAAAAGGATGTAACACGCGCCCGACACGATCGGTGGTGACTATGATAAGTGGTACCGTGAGTATGCAGGATCCATCCGCTTATGCGTCTTACTCCTACCACCACTACATTAGCGCTCGGGTGACGAGCAGAACCTCAAGGCCAGTTGGGTTTACGGCACACTATCAACGCGTGGTGGCGGAGGCTAGGCTGGTTACTACGAGCAGACAAGCCGCTTTTCGTGCAGCGGCAGAGATATCTTTCGGGGCAACCCCCCCCAAAAAAAAAAAACGCCGACGAAGAAAGAGAGAAAAACGACGGCACGGGGGTAAGCAGCGCATGCAAGGCTGAAAAGTCGTACACATAGGGTATTAGCAGCATATTGTACGTTGTCTCTTGCGTTCAAAATACTGTACCTGGAGCATCTCCAAGTAAGTCTGGATGTTGAAACCCCCGAGGTTGTCCTTGTGGTCGCAATCGAAGCACGCCTTGGCGTGCAAGTACAGCACTTCGGGATCTGCCGACAAAAACAGGGACAAGGAAATGATTGTTGTGCCGATGTTGCATCGTCGTCTTCCCTTCTGCTCTGGGCGCCAGACTTTACTCTGTGTAGGGTTTGACGCTCCAGCCCGGGTCACACACGAGGAAGGCAAAGACAGGGAGTGTATAATTTCGTTCGCCTTCTTCATGCGGTTCAAGGGTAAGCTTCTTTTGGAAAAACTCTTTGATATTCATCATAACGCAATTCAAGATAGCCACTTAAAACATTTTTTAATCTTTTAACGCGACAGGTGTTTCAGTACGCTGTCTTGCTTTCTTTCCCTTTTTTTGTTAGAAATAGCTCGATTTCAATGTGTTAGGTTTGGACGTGACAAGTGTTCAGCAGCCTCCGGAGAGATTGCAGCCCGCAACCTAGGGCACAAGGTTGAGGCGGTATCAATCAAATTCTTTCTCTCTCTCGCTCTCTATCTCCCTATCTCTCTCTCTATCTATCAATCTCTGTCAGTCTCTCTCTCTTGGACTTCGTTTCTGTCTCTCACTCCCCCCCCCCCACCCGCTTGTAACTCCCCTCCACCCCTCTTCCCCCCCCCGCCGGTGTTTGCCATCGGGGTTGGGTTTTCGTCGCTTGGCAACGGCGTTGTAAAACAAGCCGCCGCCCCCGGTGTTTGCCATCGGGGTTGGGTTTTCGTCGCTTGGCAGCGATGTTGTAAAACAAGCCGGTCACATCGTGAGCTTGGCTACCAGGTTACCGGGGGTTTTTTGCCTTTGGTTTTTTTTTGCGGTAACCATGAATGGTGGTCGAGAAGATTATGTTGTGCGGGGTCGAGAACCCTCGCCCCGCGCAAAGGGGATAATCGCACGTTGTGTTAAATTGGTCAAGCACCCTCGAGGCAGTTACACAGTACTTACAACTGTCTCTGGAAGTGAAAGCACCAGAAAATAAATTAAGTCATACGCAGCTGCCATTCGTACGCAAGGAAGTAAGCACAAGATGCCGAACACCCTTAGCAGGATGCAGCGCACCCTTCATGCGACTCGCCGAATACCTCACGGTGCTTCGCGCTTGGTGATGTGAGAGCCTGGTCCGGTGAGAACCCGGCGTGCTCCGTCCCGGCATTGTAGGGATGCGAGGTCAATGGTCTAACGACTACGGCATGCACGACTATGAGTACACCCCCCCTCCCTCCACCCCTCACCCATGCGCTTTGTGCGGATTCCCATGTCGATGTAGGCCCGAACGACACCCTCTCGGTCGTCTTCATCAAGGGCCACGATCAGCTTCGCCAGCTTCACGCGCTCCTCTAGGGCCATATGCTTCACCTGCCAGCCAGCCAGCCAGCCAGCCAGCCGACCAACCAAACCCGGCCACCAGGACAACAACAAGCACCGACATCGACCCGTATATTTGTTAGTGCAACGCAGTTCGCCGCCCCCGCACTCACGGGTGGAGACAGCTCCCCGTGGCTTCCATGCGAAATGGTACCTAGCGTGCCACACAATCACCTCGGGCCACACAACATACCCTGCCCTACCACGTTTCACGTAACGTGCCTAGCCACCGAAGCTCTCGATCGATATCCATCTAACAGGTCGTGCAGACTTAATGGTGTCCCTATTAGAGTTGCTCGGTCTGTCTGTCTGTACCTGTCCGTAGTCGATGAGGCCGAGCTTTCCGTCCGGGGTGAGGAGAATGTTGCCGGGGTGCGGGTCGCCGTTGAAGGCGCCATCGACAAAGATCTGATGACCGTGTACTCTTCGTCCATTCACACCCAATACAAGAGAGAGCGAGACAGACAGACAGACAGATAGACACAGAGAGAGAGAGGCAGACAGAGAGAGAGGCAGAGAAAGAGAGAGAGACAGAGAGAGAGAGAGACAGAGATAGAGAGAGAGACAGAGATAGAGAGAGAGAGAGAGACAGACAGACAGACAGACAGACAAAGAGGGAGAGAGACACAGAGACAGAGACAGAGACAGAGACAGAGACAGAGACAGAGAGAGAGACAGAGAGAGACACAGAGAGGGAGCAGGCAAGACCACCAGAACACGGGTAAGCGAGGCGCGGCAATCGGAGTATGGCCACACGGCGAGGATAACGAAGTAAAGTAAACACTCGGACACAACGAAGACGACAGGGTTATAATAGCATCCACAACACCCCCGTACAAGTGCATCTGCATCGAAACACACACACACGAGAGAGTGCTGGAAACGAAGACAGCCGCAGTCGTGCCTCCCTTTCCTCCCTCCACCCTCCTCCTGAATTCCGCATGTTACACCCGTAGCCGTATTGGCTGCTGGCACCACACCCACACTCTCCTCGCCAAAAGTGGAACCTTTAAGAGATGCAATCGTGTTCTAAGTGACAAAATACCAGGCACGACCTACCCAGGCAACAAGTCCCCCCCTCCCCCCTCTTGATATATCCCCCCTATGCACCTGAAGAGGGTCTCGATGAGCTTCTCCGTGTTCAGGGGGAGCCTCGCCTTCTGGTACTCCAGGCGCGTCGCCCCCGCCACGGGGGCAAGTAGCGTGTTGTACAGAAAACGACCGGCGTTGGACGTTGTGGCGCGCCCCCACAACAGCCCCCGCCACAGCCCCATCCTGACGACGCCGGGTGATACGACCGCTTCCCCTTTAGCCTCTTTCTCCTCCGCCTCTCGTCTGTTTTTTCGGCGTTGTTGTTATCGTTGATGGTTTTGTTGTGGAGCAAATGGGACACGTTGGGGGGGGGGGATCAGTCATCGGGTCATGTTTTGCCAATTGGGAGGGAGGCTTGAGCGGCAGCACGGCTTGCCCCCCCCCCCCCCCCCCCCGCATTGCTTGGGTCCCCCCCCCCACCCCCCCTTTGGCCTTGGGTGCCCTTAAAAAA